AGCCTACCATGCACAAATTAAACACAAAAGCATTCATGAATCTAAACATAGCTAAGCAAAATAGAAATGGAAAATGGATAGAAATTGTAACAAAAGGAGATTGACAAAATGAAAACAAACTTGTAAGATCTTTGAATTGGAGTTTGTTAAGCTCTTCCTTCAAGAAATCCCTCTAGGAAATCTTCTACAAAAGTGTTTTTCTCTTAATCTACTTGCTAAGCTTTTCTATTTATCTCTCTCTAAAATCTCTAGTCCTCCCCTAAATTCTTATCTAAAAACATTTTAAATAGCCTCCTCTTTCAATTCCTTCCGCAGCTTCGTCCAACGTGTCGTTGAACTTAGTGGAATTTCAGCCATGTTTCACTCCTCCACAACATGCACTGCAACGCACGTTGTGGCTGTATTGTTTGGTCCTGGCTTGTCTCCTTATTCCGCTTTGCTCCCGGTTGTGCCACTTTGCCTCGTTTAAGCCCGAAACTCACCTGAAAACTTGTAAAACACAAAGTGCGATGATAATTTCCTAAATAATGTAAAACATGGCTATTTGGCACACAATTACTACACAAAGGATTACTTTAAACCTAGAATTCACTCTAAAGGGACCCTAAAAGTGTGTGTCTTTGGAACTTATCAAACTCCTAAGCAACAATTTAATCATTCATAAGATTAGCTTCGTATCTAAAATTATTTTTTTTCCTAGTTAATTCTTTAAACTAATCTTAGTGCTTACTTGATTAAATTACCTAAATTTATTCTAATCAAGGTAACGGAACATAAGGGACTATAAGGATGAAATTCTAAGGTAAAAAGGTGGGATTAATAAGGGATACCTGCATCTTCTTCGCTAGCAACGACCTCCGCCTCGGCTGGGTACGACTCATGATGAACTCCTTTTCCAAGGGGTGGTCTAGACCTCCTCACAGGTGCTCCATTGCCTCCGCTGTCGTTCCCATTTCGGAACTGTCCTCCCGGTTGTGGCCTTACATTAACATTCTGACTCTGGCGCGCTACTTGTTCATTCTTGCTCTCACACTCAAAGGATCTATGCCGCTTTTTCCCGCAGCTGAAGCAGGTCACTAGCCTCCCATAACAGTCAAGTCCCGGGTGACCCTTACTGTAACACCCCCGATTTCCATACTAATTTAAACCTTAATCATGCAGAAAACTAGCCATAAAAACATACACAGCAGAAGACTAAATATGGAATATATGGAAAACACAGGGTGCTATGCCACGCCCACCCAACGGTGAACGCACAGGCGTAAACATCTGCAACATAATCCAACTATCCGAAACAAAGTCAACGACAAGAAGTCAAAAGTCTAACATCGGCGCACAGGCCAAAACATCTCAAGGTTCAAGGGATCTATACTAACAGTCTCTAGACCGCGCTCTCGTCTACTCATGAAACACCACCCCCCCCCCACCCAAAACAAGGCCCAAATAAAGCCCTAACACAAGCAGATTAAACAACAAAACTAGCACAGCGGAAGACAAAAAGGAAAACTGGATAAAAGAAATCCAACGGGGTGTTATGCCACGTCTACCGAACTCGGTAGCGCTAAGGCGACAATCTGCAAGTGTATAAAACTATCCCAAAACATCAATCTAACTAGATGGGCGCACAGGCCACAAAAACAACAAGGATAAAGGTACTAAGCTACCAGGCTGTAGACAACGCGCTCGTCTAAACATCACCTGAAAGATACAAAGATAAACATGGGACGACGCCCGGTCAGCGATAATGCTAGTAACCCACCAATACCGTTAAGTATCATAAATAGGTAGATATAAGATATAAAAACCTTTTTCGAAATGGAATACATAAGTATATAAGTTAAAAGCCAAGATCAAAAGACAACACAAGACTCATCACTCTCAAGGATAACACCGGGAACACATCCCAAACCACAAAGGTTAACCACCACACGAAGGAATAAGACTCACACATGGCAACACATGCTCCTTGTGACTACACACGTCACAAGAAAGAGAACTCACCACAATGGCTACACAAGCCCTCGTGACATCACCCATCACGAGTTGATAAGCCTTCCTTATGCCCTGTTCCAACTAGAGCCATCGAAACGGTCTCGCGGGGCTGGACGGGCCAAAACACAGCAAAGCCCGCCCTCGTAGCGGGACGGGCTAAAAAGCCCGCCTCTTAGTGGGCTTGGAGTGTGGCCGGCCCGCCCCGCCATGCCAAAGCCCGCTGGCGGGGCGGACTAGCCCGCCAATCAATTTTTTCACTGTGTTAATTTTTTTTAATAAAAAAAAAATCACTGTATAGACATACAGTAACACTACCTAGTATTGTATTCCTATAAATCTATAATCCTATAAGTTATAACACACTAACACAATTACACAAACCAAAATAACATGTATTAAATACTAAATATATATACAAAATATATATGTATTAGCAGGTCGCGGGCTAAACCCGTGACCCGCCTGACCCCCCCCCCCCCCCCCCCGCCTGGACCCGTGACACAGGCGGGACGGGCTAAAAAACCCGCCTCTTGGCGGATCAAAATTTGAAGAACCCGTCCCCTACCTACTGCAATACGGGACGGGTCGACCCGACGGGTAAAACCCATTTTTGACGGCTCTAGTTCCAACCTTATGGCTATCCCCAACCTTGTACCTTCTTCCACCATTACCTCCAGGACCCCTGTACAGCCAAGTCCAACCTTATTCCGCCGGGACCGTCGTCCCCCACCAACAACCCGCCTATAAGACCACCAATTTCATAGTACACAAGGTACCGTACACACACATGGCACACGTGCCCGGATAACACATGTTATCCCCCAATCACGTGAACCTTTCTCGAAGGAACACAGCTCCATAATCACGTCACGACCAGCACTAGGACCGCTGCAATACCTTGGTGACTAGCGTCCCATACCACTAATCGTGCAATCCAGGTAAAGCCACACACGCGCAACAACTCACACGAGTCAAGCAACGGATTACAACGAAGGTAGGAAACATACTCAATCAAGGAATGGGTCACCACCCAACGATAACAACGATGTATAACACAAGTTAACATCAACCACACGGAAGGTACGAACAACACACACGCTAGCATTAAGACAACAAACTAGCATGCTTAACAACGGGGAAACTCAAGATAATTCCAAGGAACACACAAGACACCTCTTGGTTCAACGAAGCACAATGTTGAACACTTAGCACGATTCCAGACACCAAAGATCCTACATGGATACCTACCATATAGTTCTAGACCTACGAAACATCAAGAAGACGCTCAAATAGTTCCATAGAAGAACAACGGGAAGTCAAAAGATCAAATACCGAGACAACCGAATCACGGAGAACAAATCCCAACATCACCACAACCATGTACCCGCGGGTGGACCCACGGGTAGTGTCCCACCCGTGGTTTCGCCCGCGGGAACAATATCCCACGAGGCTGTGTACCCGCGGGTAGGCTAGCGGGTGGTGCCCCGCCCGCCGTTCCGCCCGCGGGAACATACCTGTTCCACAATAAATCCCTTCGGGAATTTTCTTCTCCAAACACCAATTCAAGTCCAAAACATGTAAAATCTCACCCATCACAACAAAATGACTTGAACCATGGAAAATGCCAAGCAATGGCACAAAGGAACCCTAAACACAAGCTCTAGATATGCAATATCACAAGATAAATGCATAAACCCTCACATTTCATAGCAAAGAACAAGTAGAATCCAAGAAATCACATATAGGTAAGCAAAATAGGTTTTGTAGAGCATGGGTTACCTCTTGTACACCAAAAGACTTCAATTTACACCACCACAAGCTCCCCGCAAAGCTTACTTCTCAAACTTGTAATTTTGCAATTCCTCATTTTAAGTAAATTGACAGAATTAGATAACTGACTTAGATTACTGATTGATTCAGTTAAGGGGACAATCAGTAATGATAAATCATGAAGAGAATATAAAGTGAAGATATCCGCACAAAAGCCAAAGACACAGAATGTTTACCCAGTTCGATACGGTGTGTATATACTTCTGGGGGACGATCACATAGGCGTCCAATCCACTAAATCATAATCCAATGTACAAAGGTAGATGTACAATAATCTTACCCAAGTGCCCCAGACAAGGTACAAACCAGTCTACACAGGTTTAGTGGATTGTTGAAGATGGAGAGCCATGCATACAGAAGTCCAATGAAATCCCTTCACTTGGAGAGCCCACTCTGATGCAGTCCACTTCAATGAGGCTCTATAAGGTTGTTCCCACAACAGTGTGATCACAGTGTCCTTTCGTTTTAAGTAGCAGTATCTCTTCTCAAGTTCATCATCTTAATCACCATGAACGTATTGTACTGAGAAGACGCATGTCAATCAAAGTTCTAGTCTCATATAGCAGATATGGAGTGTTTCTCTTTATTTTCGGCGTAACCCTAATTCTTGTCAAATAAGGATACTTATAGATCCTTCAATAAACACTCTCCATAGTTGACTTTGATTGTAGAAGGTAGGACTGTAAAATAGGAATGTAATCTCAGAAGATTAGGTTCATACCTTTCTTGAAAATATACGATGATCATCTTTCCATACTGGTCTGATAAAACCGCGTGAGCCTTTTAAGGAAACAGCTTCCTATATTAGATCTTCAGTGTCAGTTCTTCTGTTATTGCTTCTGATTGATCAGTTAGCTATAGAACCAAACGAACAGACTCTAAACCTATCTTAGTATGCCATAATAATATTGCCAATTATAATATGGGGTTTTTGGACATATAAAAACACTAACAAACTCCCCCTTTGGCTATTATTTGGCAAAACAACTCGAGTACATCCATAATGAACTAAGATAGGTTATTATAAAGAAGCAACCCATGTGTCCGAACGGATTACATAGAATAAAAGCAGAAACATAGGATCCAAAATAGTTTAGGATAAAAAACACAACGCCCAGCCACGGCCAAAAGGTACTTCAAACAAAAAAACACCAAAAAACACTCCCCCTGAGTTCATACTACTCCCCCTTTTTGCCAATGGTAGCCAAATATTCAGCATTGGAGGGAGAGTCACTGTCAGACTTCACAGGATCGGCAGCAGCAGCAGCTTCATTCAGGCTCAAACGAAGAAGAACAGTGGCCAGCTCAGTACGAGCTCCTGTCAGTTGCTTTGCAATAACGCTATGCACCGTCTCAAGGTCAGCAACTCTTGCCTTCAATTGTATGGAAAGCTGAATATCCTTAGCATGAGGAGAGTCATCAGGCACAACACCGGGTTCAGAATTGGATAGGGCAGTCACAGGAACAACATCCCGAATGTGATCTCCAGACAGAAGACGTTTATCAACAGTATAGAGCAACGTTGGGCTGATTACTTCACTGGGCATAGGCTCAAGGCCCTAAGTGGTAAGGATGCCAAAAATAAGATTTGGGAAGGGTAGTCTTACCTTATGTTCGCGTGGGTGAATCAGGGTGAGGATGTGATAGTAAATCCATTTTGCCAGATCAAGTTGCATCTTTGTTCCAATTAGAAATAAGAACCCAGCCAGAAGCTTGCCAACTGTGTGAAAATGGGCTGATGGGAGCCAGTTGTGGAGAGCTAGGCGGTGTAAAATCACATATCTAGACGTGAGATGAGAGCTTTGCAGATAGTCCTTGTCACCCGTAGGCCATGATTTTGTCTGCCCACCGGTCAGAGTTCTGGCAACCAAGTCCCAGTCAGTAACAGCTTCTTCTTGAACTGCTGGCAAGCCATAGTATTCATTAATCATATCCGGCCCAAAAACATACCATCTTCCTCTGATAAAAATCTGCATTGGTCGTGGCCCTGTGAGAACGTCAATCTCATCATTCAGATTGCAATAGAATTCATATGTGAGCAGCTTAGAGTAAGGGCAGATGTCCGTGACAGTTTTCAACAATCCGACTTCATTCAGCAAGGGCAGAATGTCACAAACGGAGTTCAGCTGGTTCTCATCCACCGATATTTGAACAATAAGTTCCCTTCTAACCATAGTAGCCCATTTGGTCTGGGCAGCAGGAGATACAAACTGTGGCTGGTAAACAGATGGGTCAGTTTCTTCAACAGGAGGGACCTCAGGAGTGACACTTTGTCCTCTTGATCGTGTGGATGGCTTCCCTTTTCTGACAGAAGGGGCTGGTACAGAGGTAGCTTGAACAGCAGTAGATCCTTTCTGCTTAACAGATGATCGCAGAGTCTTGAACACTTGTTGAACAGGCGGGTTTCCTTCAGGTTTAATATTCTCACTCGACTATCTCTTCTTCTCAGGCTGATCCACATCAGCATTATCATCACCTGTCTCAACAACAACCTTTACTGGGACATTCTTCCTTTTTGACCGTCTTGTTTCCTTGGTTGGGGACTGAACCGGAGTCACAGAGTGGCTAGAATCAGAAACATTTGCAGACGAGCTTCCAATAATATTCGAAATCTCTCGAATTTTGAAATTCGTGGAGTCAGGATTAGCAGTTCCCTCAATAGTTCGAACATCAGATTGAAGTGCTTGAGATCCATACACTTCAGCCAGTATTTTATCATCTTCACTGGAGGATTCGGAAGGATGAATCACTCGATATGGTTGAGGGATGGTATCAGATGGTAGCCTAGCAAAGTGTCGCACATGTTCCAGACTTTCTCCTAAAGATGTTGCAGTGTAGATAGGAATTCCACCTGTTTTCTCAGACTTGTGGGGGCTTGATAAATCAACAGTTTCAACAGTAGCAGGTAAAATAGGAGTGTCAACAGCAGAGCAAGTTTCTTTAGAGACATCAACATTCTCAGCAGGAGACAGAGCAATATGATCAGACGAATAAACGACTAAATTCAGTGGATTTAGCTCATCAAAGGACTTTGCTTTCTCATCAGACAAATGCAAGACATCAGTTTTCATACCAATAGATTCAGTCAAAGGCAGAGATAAAGATTCAACATTTACAAGAGGCTTTTCGGAATCCAAAGCAGTTAAATCTTCAGAACTAACAGGCACACAAGATGGGGTAGCAGGAACATCAGGTTTATCTGGTGAAATTTCAATAGGAGTTTCAGAAAAGTTTGACCTGTTTCAGAGAATCTCCTGCCTGTGTGTTGCCTCTTTTTGAGCAGCTGCGAGATACAGAGGTTGCGCATCCGCTTGCCTTCGAGAGGCCTCAACCAATTCTAGGGCTCGATGTGCAAAGTATTGAAGGAATGCTCCGGCCCGATTTCCATCCAAGGGTTCTGGAATATATACTGGAGAAACTTCATCACTGGCTTCAGAAACCATCATAAGCAGTTCAGTCGCATCATCTTCAGACCATTCTGCATAAAACTCTGGGTAATAGGTCCTCACAGTTACTAAAATCTCGTCGCGAAGTAGAGGATCAAATTTGAGCTTCTTCTTCATAGCAAACTGCAGCAGTGTCTGAATGTGCTTAAGAGCCACCTCCGGAGAATGTGTCTTGCTTCCAAGCTTGATAATGATGTTTCTTACAGGGTCTGTCATTGAAGGTTATGTGCGAGGAGAAGAGCAGATCACTGAAGGCAGATTTGCAAGAGAGATAGAAGGTTGAGAGCTGAGGTGTTCAAGGATGAGATGTTCTTCTTGACCCGGTATCATATAGGCTTAAGGGTGATGAACCCTAATTAATGCGGCTTGTCAAATATCATGCAGATGCGATTGATTGACACAACGGTACAGCTCCTTTTTAGGAAGGAAACGGAGACCCAAGGAAATTTGAAATTCGAAAAAGAGTTAATATCTTTTAAGATATCTCTGAGAAGTATATGGATAAATAATATTCTTAGCAAAAATAGAGTGGAGTCTTTTAGGAAAAGTCAAATCATAACACTGACCTGTATATACCAACTCCTCTCTGACGGACCAACTGCTTTAATCAATCAATTCTACAAATTCCCAGAGCAGACCTGAGAATTTCAAAACGATTAGCATCCAATGGCTTGGTCAGAATGTCCGCCAGTTGTTTATCTGTCTGAATATATTCTAATTCAATTACCTTGGATTCAACCAGGTCTCTGATGTAGTGATGCCTGATGTCAATATGCTTCATTCTGGAATGTTGAACAGGATTCTTGGAGATGTTAATAGCACTGACATTGTCACAGAAAAGTGTCATTGTTCCTTGAGTCAAACCATAGTCTAGAAACATCTGTTTCATCCAAACCAACTGAGTACAGCATCCACCAGCAGCTATGTATTCTGCCTCTGCAGTGCTTCGTGAGATTGAGTTCTGTTTCTTACTTAACCATGATACTAAGTTCTTACCAACGAAGAATCATCCTCCAGAAGTACTTTTCCGATCATTAATATTCCCTGCCCAATCAGCATCACAGTATGCAACCAGATTCAGTTCACTGTCCTTGGAATACCAGAGACCATACTGTATTGTTCCTTTAACATATTTTAGAATACGTTTTGCAGCTATCAGATGTGATTCCTTTGGGTCAGATTGATACCTTGCACAGATTCCAATACTGAACATTATGTCTGGTCGAATGGTTGTTAGATACAGCAGACTGCCTATCAAACTACGATAGACTGTGTTATCCACTGATACACCAGTTTCATCTTTCGATACTTTTGTAGAGGTGGAGATAGGTGTTCTGGATGATTTACATGATTCCAGATCAACCTTTCTGACAAGATTCTTAGCATACTTCTCTTGCGAAATAAAATATCCTTCAGAACTTTGCTTGACCTATAGACCTAGGAAGTATGTCAGTTGACCAACCATGGACATTTCAAACTCTTCCTCCATTACTTTTACCAACTCATCAGTGTATTTCTGCAGGGTTGATCCAAACACAATGTCATCAACATAGATTTGGGCTATGGTTACATGACTTCCAGTAGTTTTTACAAACAGAGTTTTGTCAACACTTCCGCGTTTATACCCATGCTGGAGCAGATACTGTGTCAGTCGTTCATACCAGGCCCGTGGAACTTGTTTAAGGCCATAGAGAGCTTTTCGAGGCTTATAGACATAAGAGGGATGTTCTGGATCTTCAAAACCTTTAGGTTGAGCCACATAGATATCTTCATAGAGATACCCATTCAGAAATGTTGTCTTGACATCCATCTGATATACTGTAAATCCCAAAATGCATGCGACAGCCAACAAGATTCTGATTGACTCGAGTCTACTACAGGAGCAAAAGTCTCGTCGTAGTTAATCCCTTCAATCTGTGTATAACCTTGAGCCACCAACCGAGCTTTGTTTCTGGCTATATTCCCTGCTTCATCAGTTTTATTTTTAAAGATCCACTTCGTTCCAATTACGTTGACACCATCAGGTCTTGGTACAAGATTCCAAACATGATTCCGCTCAAACTGATGTAGCTCCTCCTGCATTGCCTTGATCCACAGATCATCCTGTAAAGCTTCTTTGACATTTTTGGGTTCTATCTTTGAGGTATAGCAAACAGATCCAGATATTTCTGTCAGATTATTTCTCAATCTGCTCCTAGTCTTCATCCCATCTGTTGGATCTCCAATAATGTTATCTAATGGATGGTTTTTCTGAGTTCTGGTGGGTTTGTCTTTACCAACATCCTTTATGAGATCTATCTCCTGTTCCGAACTTTCTTGATCTTCGTCTGACGATTCTTGTGGTTTGAGCTGACTGTTGTTATTACTCGCATCTGACTCGCTTAGAGAAGACTCTATCACTGTTGAGTCTACTGATTCTTTCGGATTGTCATCGATAACCACGTTTACTGACTCCATCACAGACTGAGTCCTCTTGTTGTAGACTCTGTAGGCACGACTGTTCGGAGAGTACCCAAGAAAGATGCTCTCATCACTTTTGGGTTCGAACTTCCCTCTTTGTTCTCTATCAGCCAGCACATAACACTTAGTCTCAAACACATGAAAATATTTCAAATTTGGCTTCTTTCCATTTCAGATCTCATATGGTGTTTTCGACATTCCTGGTCTAAGGTAGACCCTATTTAAAGTATGACACGCTGTGTGAACTGCTTCAGCCCAGAAGCGTTGTGGCAGATGTGAAGCATGCAGCATAACTCTAGCCATTTCCTGTAAAGTTCGATTCTTTCTTTCCACTACTCCATTCTGTTGAGCAGTTCTAGGAGCTGAGAATTCATGTGATATACCATGCTCGGAGTAGAAGTCTGAATATAGTGAATTCTCAAATTCCTTTCCATGATCACTCCTTAATCTCTGAACTTTTATAATAGATTCATCCTTTTCCTTCTGAACTGTTATGCACAGCGTCTTAAAAGCCTTGAAAGCTTCTGTCTTTTTTCTCAGAAAGTATACCCAGCTGTATCGAGAGAAATCGTCTACACACACAAATATGTATTTCTTTCCCCCAATGCTTTCAGTCTGTGTTGGTCCCATGAGGTCTATATGGACAAGGTCTAGGCATTTCTCAGTGGTGATACCTCTTACAGCTTTGTGTGGAGTTCTGATTTGTTTCCCAATGGCACATGCGCCACAGATTTTTTCTGGATCAATTCTGATCTTAGGTACACCTTTTACTGCTTCCAGTTTGATCAGCTTATCCATATCTCTGAAGTTTATGTGACCTAGTCGTCTATGCCAGAGTTTCGATTCATCATATTTGGATAGGTGACACGCAGTTTCATTTGTCAAAACATAGCAATTGTCTGAGGACCGGGTTCCTTCCATGACTAGTTGATTTGCTTTGTCACTAACTCTGCAGCAGTTACGATCGAAGCACACATTCCAATTTTGAACACACAACTGACTGATTCTAATTAGATTTGCTTTCAACCCATTGACTAGCAGGACTTCTTCTAATTGAGGTAAACCTGGTACATTTAGTATACCTTTCCCAACGATTTTACCTTTTTGTCCATCACCATATGTTACAGCTCCACTGCTAGGCTGAACCGCCATCAGACACTTGATATTTCCAGTCATATGTCTGGAACATCCACTGTCGAAATACCATCTAGCATCAGTTGTAGACGCAGTCAGAACAATGGTGGGCTAGTAGATAACTTCTGACTTTCTGACCCAAACCTGTCTAGTGAAAGGTGTAATAGTCTTATTCTGATATTTTCCCTTTCTTTGATATCTGTAGAAGAAGTAACACTCCGGTCAAGTATGACCTTTTGTTTGACAGTAGTGGCAAATGAGAGTGTAATATTTAACTTTGACAATCTTATTTTTGAACCTCGAATAATGAGATTGATGAGTTGATCTGCCTAAGTCAGTATCAGTACTCTGATCGTACCTCCTTCCCTTGTTTTGTACTGACTGAGATGATTGTCCTTGTTCATATCTGCGATCAGCTGTGGTCTTAGACATTCCCTCTTTGATGAACTTTGTTGCGTTATTCGAAGATTCTCCTTGTTCAAATCCCAGACCCTTTTTATCATTAGGATTTCTGCCAGAGTCTAGAATTTTATCTAAGGTTGATGTGGTGTCCATCATCTGCATATTTTTCTTCAAGTTCTCCAATTCCTTGATTAATTTTTCTTCTCTGGACCGTATCTGAGTGATGAGATCTTCTTTTATGATAAGTTCTGCATTTAATTTCTTTAGAAGATCATCTCTTTGCTTCAACTCGTCATTCAGATTTTTATTTACTTTCACAAGTTGTTCCCAGCTGGCAACAAGTTTTGCAAATTCTATCTCAAGTTGATTATGTCTCTCTTCAAAGTCATCAATTGATATGTATGATTCTCCATCTGATTGATCTCTGTCTAACTGAAGGTCTGTAGCAGTAAAGAAAGCTATAAAGTTTCCCACATTATCATCTGATTGATCATTTGAAGTTTCCTCCTCATCGTCACTAAGAGTAGCAACAGACATAGCCTTTTTCCTTTTGAGGTATGTTGCACATTCAGCCTGTATATGACCGTATCCTTCACATTCCCTACACTGTACTGACCGATTGAGAGGTTTTCCTGAGTCTGTGGAACTGTTTCTGATTTGTTTTGATCGCCCAGTCTAAGATTGATTATTTTGTGAGAAAGGTGTTGTTTCTACCTTTTGATGTGAGGAGTTGTTGCCTTTGTATTGTGTCCTGGTAGGCTGACCTTGACCCTTTCTGTTGAAACCTTTTAATATTTTCTTGAAGTTTTTGGTTAGAAGAGCTAAGGTTTCATCATCTATGTCGTCTGTGTCAGATTCTCGATCAGCCTCAGCCACAAAGGCTACCGACTTTCCTTTCCTGTTGCTTCCAATATCATCATCAGCAAGAACTTCCAGTTCGTATGTGTGTAAGCTTCCCATGACTTCTCCAACTGTCTTCTTTTCCCAACCTGTGTGTTCCTGAATAGCAGTTACTTTCATTCGAAAACGTTTAGGTAAAGATCTAAGGATCTTTTTGACCACTCTCTCATCAGTGAACGGTTCCCCAAGAATTGAGGCTCGGTTCATCAAGTTTTGAACCCTACTGTGGAAGGTCGAAATGGTTTCGTCTTCAATCATTCTGAGTGCTTCAAATTCTGACAGAACCATTTGCAGCTTTGACTGTTTGACATCACTGGTTC